CATCCGGACCCACTGACTTGAACGCGTCCAGCCCCTCCAGAAGCTCTCTAAGCCGGTCCTCCCCAACCTGAGGTCTGAAGGCGATCCCCTTGAATGACCATGAATACGAATGACACATATGTAAGGATCCAAGGAGATGTGTAATGCACTACTGCTAAGTTTTGGCTCTATTGTTTCTTCTTTCAAGAAAAACTACTAATCAAATATTTGAAAAACTAGGGAAAGCCTCTTACAACCATTACATGGTTTTCCCTCATCTCACATGCTAAGCTGTATTTCCTATGCCCCTAGTAACATCATCTTTACAGACTTTTTCAATACCATACAGATGCACAAGGTATTGAAACACTGGTAACTAATGTGAATGCTTTCTATGGTTTTGTTGTTGTTGTTTAAATGTTATGGCTCATAGACATTTGACTGACTACATATTTTGCCAGACACCAGATACCTCTTTAACTAATCACCACTGCTTTCTTTTGGTTCAAGCAAAGACTTACTGATCTTACAGAATATACCATCTATCTATCTATCTATTTGATTTGCATGGGCAAAAACGTTATGGTCTCATGGAGTCACTTTGAGGTCAAAGGGTTTCCTGCAGGACTGTGACCTAAACACAGACTTTACAGTATTGTTTTGCTGACTCTACTTACCTTCACCTAACATCACTTCATGAGTGGAAGTTGTACATCAGTTTGCTGATGTTAGGTAACTCTAAACTATTTCAGATAACGGTTGTTTCTGTTTTGAAGAATATTAAATGCCTTTTCTAGCACATGCATGTTAAAGATGGAAAAGCTGTTTTCTTACAGGGGTCAAAAGCAGCTATCAGGAAATTAGTTCATTTGTATTATCCTCAACTATTTCTGGCTATGGTATAGTTGAAAATAACTCTCTATTGTTTTCTTTTAGAAACATCAGCAGAGGGTGCTACAGATACATTCTTGCCCTGAGTCTCACTTTAGTTTCAAGGTTAACACAAGAGCTGCTTTAGAAATCCCAAAGTGATTATGATTAAAAATTCACTAAAATCAAGTAAATAAAAATCTAAACTAAAAATATTGTTAATCATTGTTTACCAGTCATCAGCAATGCGATGATCTATGCTGCCTTTCTGTATTCTGATCATGCTTTAAAACTTGACAGTTTACTCTAGATAACATAGGAATTGCCAGCCTGGATTAGACTGGTGGTCCATCTACTCCAGTGTCCTGCCTCTGATGAGGAAGTCCTAGATACTTCTGGTGAAACTGCAAAAAAATCTCCCTGAAGTGGTAATTAGGGAACAAAATGCCCAGGAAGTTTTCTTCTAATCCTCGTCAGTTAGGAGTTTGTCTATGCCTTAAAACATGCAGCTCAAGCCCATTCTAAATGTTTTTAAGCCAGATCCTGTTCCACCTATAACACACAGAGGCATGACCCGACTCCATTCTGGCACAGTCCCTGAAAAATTGTTAAAGCTCCTACTTCTGTAACACGCTGTCATTTTAGCATGAAGACCAAGTCAAAAAAGCAACGAGGAAGATCTGTCCAACTTTTGTTAACTGTTTTCAAGAGGCTTCAGCAGGGTGGTACAAGATCATACTTAGGTGCCTAACAAGTGGATTAGAGGTTAAGGGGATACTCACAGTATCCTGCAAGCACAGAGGTAATGTCAGAAACCAGAACACTCTGACATACCATAGCCTGGCTTATAATATTGTCAGGTTTTCAGTTATCAAATAATTTTATTCATAAGCAATAAACTGCCAGTTGCCAAAAGTCATATTTTTACTACTTTTTTTTGAGAAGTAGGTATTTACCTTATATAAGTGTAAAATAACCTTTCTTATTTAGAGCTACAACCACAGGAAAAACAACACAATAAAACCTGCCAAAAGGCAAGATTTTTATAACTACACATAAGAAAAGTCTGCAAACCTCAAACTGGAAAATACAGTATGCTAATTGTTTCTTTCATTCTGATTTTCCTTTTTTTTTAAAGGAATTGTATGAGTTCAAAAAGACTAGAGAAGTGATTGAAAGTGTCATGAAATCACTGAAAAAAGTTCCTTCTGTTGACTTCAATGAGGTTTG